TTACATTCCAATTTTAAACATACGTATCATAACCTTGTTGCATTTTCTTGATTTTTTCTTCATGAATTAGGTGCAGTTGAACGTTGGTAAACTGAAAGAAAGTAAAGAGAATAGGACAATGAAAAAAAAAAAAAGGCCGTGGCACACGTTGACATTTATACGGATGAGTTTGGAAGATATTAAAAACCGAATTTGTAGGCAATATTTCTCTTGCCAAAGGGAAAGGGAAGAATAGGCAAGCAGCGTATGCTCTTAAGAGTCCGCTGCTTTATCCGCAATGAAAATAAACGCAAGCAGGATGAGGGAAATTCACAGAATCGTCTTTAACAATGTAATTTTCCCGTTTTTGGCCCCTCCTTAAAACATTGACTCCTTTTTCATCCTAATACGAGTTGTTTAAGTAGTTTTTCAAGAAATTTTGTTTAGTACAGAAAATAGGATATTAGGTAGGTATTATATATTTAACAACATAAACAGATTTGACAGCAACAGGCTTAAATCTACCTCAACCTTGAAACAAAAGTTGCCCCTTGTGTCACATAAAAAGAATCATCATTTAAAAAGGAATAAAAGAAATAAAAGAACTCTATTTTGTTGTACTTTCGTATGTAAGTGTCGCCCAGGTGGCTAAGTGTATAAGTACTAAAGAATTCTATTGGGCAATTGCCAACAAATTTACAGAAGAGCAGGCGCAAGATACAGTTTGACCCAAAACTCGGCCCCAACTTTTTGTGCTAAAAAAAAACACTATTTTCTTGGTTAGACAAAGTTGCCCTTTTTCTCTTGGCCCGAAACAGCAACCTCAGTATTGTCTGTTTTATGGTAAAATCTAAAGTCTACCGTACATGAAAGCATATCAAGTAAAAAATGAAAAATCCAATTCATGTGTCGAAAATAAGGGGCAAATGAAGAAGCTAGTGTCGACTTCCCTCTATTCAAAATAATGAGAAAAGAACCCCCAAGATATAGATTTTAATATTTTTATTTTTAACAACCGGCTCCTTAATTATACAAGTTTTATGGCTTCAAATATGATTAAATCTTAATCCCTTTTGTATGGTTTTTCTGTAGTCTTGTATTTTAAAAAAAATAACGAGAAAAGAAAGCAGAGGGTAAGAACAAAATAAAACGATCATTACATACAGCTGCTTTTCATTTATTAACGCATTTGTTATAAAATAAAAGGATAAAACCAAGCAAAGGAAAATCACTTTTTTTTTCCATCCACTCTCGAAATTCAATTCACCAAGTCATTTTCATTTTATTATTCCATTTCACCTTTTCCAGGAAAGGATCCACATAAAAACGACACGTTGCGAAATTTTGGGGAACAGTGATTGGGTGCTAAGAAAATACCCGAAAATTCAATTCACCAAGTCATTTTCTTTTGAAGTTAGCGTTGTGGCCAAACTTTCTGTTTATAAACACAGATTATCACTCGCTTCCCCGATCGTACTCAATTCTTCGAGCAACCAGATAGGTAAAACTAAGAACATGGAGAACAAAAGGACGAAAAATAGAGACTCGATCATGAAATAGCGAGACGAGAACGCAAGAGGCAATAATGTCAGTCATTGAAGCAATACCTTCGTGTTGGTCCAAGATAATGTCTTCGATCAGAAAATGATACTTCTGAAAGCATTGATCGCGCCCCTCCTTGGTGCCAAAACGCTTCTGCACCTCCGAGAGGAAGATCCGAGCCCGGACTCGGGAATTCGGATCCTCCAGACGCTCCAACACAGACCGGAGAGCACCGTATGCGGCGTCACCGGAATGCTCACACTGCTTCAGAAACTCGTCCACCGAACCACACACATCCTTCTTCGTTGCCATTTCCTTCTTTCTAAATTGAAGCGCCCAGCTCCTCACAGAGAAGAGAGATTGCAGAAGCTTTAGCTGAGAGGAACGAGGATCATGTTTCCCGGTAATATTTTGTCGAACATGACTATTATATCGAACAACATTTTTACCGAGTCAACTTAACAAATCATAGAAATTTAAGTTAATTTAATTAATCAATTTATATTTGCTGTCTGAAATCTAAATGGGGTTAACTATATAAGGCATTCTTGTATAGTTAATATCCTTTCATCTAATCCAGGCATATAAATTTTAATATATTAATAATATTAATAATAAAAATTTATTATAAAATAAATAATCTATAATAGATATACATATTTAGATTTAATTAAAAATAAATACCTTAAGTATATAAGTTTTTTTCAAAATATAAACCCTGACAAATACATGCAACCATCTGGTATACTAAAATACGTGCAAAGTTATACTACCCAAGATGGCATAATTAATATTATTATCATTATAAATCGTACGTAGTCATATTAATAATAACATTTAATTAATTCATTCATCAGATGCTAAGCTCATCCATGAAATAAGCGTAACGGGAAATTTGTGTTTCACGTTATGTCAACTACTGGACATACCATATACAGAACAAGAAATTGAAGAAAGTGATTTGTCAGTAAAGTAGGTAAAAAAAAAGTGAGGTTTTAAACTTAGACATTATAATATGGTTTAATTGGTGAATGCAATAATCGCTTAGGAAATTTTTTTATTACACGGAAAAATTTGCTTTAAAAATAGGAATACATATACACATAGTTACCGTAATGAAACGAAAGCATGCAAGAGACTTTTTCACGGGCGTGGGGTGTCTTCATTTCCCCCCTCCCCATTTCTCCTACCATTTCCTCTGCCATTTTGCTTATTAAAAAAATATAGGAAAAATAGAAAGCAACTAAAAAGAAAGCATTTCCATCTCATGGGACCTGGCTTTTCTCCTCCCACCATCCCTTGCACACAGTTTAAAATATTTATTTTTACATTTATTAAAAATTTATAAAAAATTTAATAATATATTTTATAACTAATTTAGCAGTCCTAATTTAATATGAATGATTCAAATTTAATATTAAAATTATATATAATTTTTATAAATTGACTGTTTAGGTATACTATTAACAGTGCAGATTCAATGTTAAATTTATAAAAAAATTTAATATTAAATTTGAACCACGCATATTAAATATGAATTGTTCCTTTTGGTAATTATATTTAAAAATTTTTTAATTTTTATTAATTGAATTTTCCAATATAATCTGGATAGCACAAATTATTTGAACTATTCATATTAAATTTAAACTATCTAAATTGCTGATCAGATTTAATAAAAATTATATTTCTTTAATACCTCTAAAATAAAAATAAAATTAAAACATTTATTCTGGATGGTGTATCGGCGAGGGAAGGATGAGAGAGGCCGGGTCGGTGAGGGTGCTTTTATTTTAGTTGTTTTCATTTTTTTATTTTTTGCATTTTTTATAATGAGCAAATCAGTGCAGTTTTTTAAAAAAAAATGGAAGAAAAATAAAGAGAGGAGAAATGGAGACAACCCCACTCTCCTTTCGTACAAGCCCACGTAAGCTCCATAATCTGGTAATTATTTTGGTCAATTCTATTTTCCGAAGGCCATCAAGTGAAAATTTATATTTGGGATGTGAAAAACGAAAACATTGTAGAATTAATTTCTCATGGTTTTTAATTTTGCCACGTAATTTTCATAGATCAAAGAAGGCAAAAAGTCACGATGCAATTAGCACTAAAGAATTCATAAAAAGTCAAAAACGGCTCTATTAAATTATTTTATGATTGAAGTGACAGGGATAATTTATTTATTTTTTGGGAAAATGATAGTTAACAAGCAGGTGCTGAACAATTTTTTTTTGAAAAATCAAGTTCAAATATCAATTCAAATAATTATAAGTTTAAAAATTATAAATATAAATAAGATATTTTAAACCTAAAGGTAACAATTAGTTTACAATTTAGATTTTATTTATAATTATTTAAATTAATATTTGTACTTCATTTTCTGAAAAAAATTGCCAAGATCTACCTATTATTAATTTATTCTTTTAAAATTTTATTGTCATTTCTTTTTTTTTTATCTAAATTACTTTCAATCATCCTCTCAAACAATAACATCCCTCAAAAAAATATTTTATTCACAATTAATGTTTCTGTATTGTTGTCCATGGGTTTCTAATAGGGACAATCACGGACCAATCCCACATATAAATTCTAACATCTAAAAAGTCCAATGGATTGTAGTTGTAATGTACATTTACAAAATAATAATAATAATAATAATAATAATAATAATCTAGCATTCGCACCCACTTACTCCTCCTCTCTCCTTCCCGATACCTCTCGCCGTGCTTTCCCTTGAGACGATTCCATCAATTGTGGTGTGCTTCTCTCTCCCCATCTTCTGGTAACTCCACATTACCATCTCTCTTGTGTTCGAAATCAATCCCTATTACTCCCATGATGAGTGGTTCGAAATCAAATGCACCTAAAATTCTGATGGAACTCATCACAGGCCCTATCTCAAGAAGTTCATACAACTGATGTCACCAGATTTGATTACTACTTCATAACCCGATTTACAGTCGAAACTGCAAAAACATTAGCACACGGAGGATTTTTGCCATAGATTCAGCGGAATCAAAGAAGGGCTCCACACTTCACAAGGACACATGCTCGTGAATAATATGCTCAACGTTAGCTAAATACATTATCGCTTTTTTATAGAACTACCATCTAATGTTAAATGCCGTTAAATTAGATTCAAGTATTATTACATTGAACAGGATATAATTCTCTCGACATGATTCTCGTGCACATGACATATGATATCTATAAAAATTTTGAAGGGAAATCTGAGTAATGATCTATTAAGCATGAATGACTTCTACCATGTCAAAGTGACACTCTACTGCTAAGTTATATCCCTTTCCTTGTCCCGCCCCCCCTCCCTCCATCTCTTCCGCATTGAATCATCAGAGGTAGCTGTAGGCTCTGTATTTGACTCATCCACGGGCATTCCTCTCTTCAGTGGCCATACCGGCCACAATGTAAACAAATTGGATTCATTCTTGAATATTCAATATCCAAAACTCAGTCTCGTAGTAATGTAGTAACTTGGATTCTAAGCAAAGATTCCATTTCTCAATGAAATTTGTTGTTCTTCAGCTTTGTCATTGGATTACAAGACTATGCAATAAGACTCAGTCTCTCACGTTTGTCCCATAAGCATCAGTTCATCCATCCAACAACCCTGTGCTGCTCCTTCTAGAAGGCGGCTGATTATTCTCTCTACTCTCGCTGCCTTTATATTTGCCCCTACTCTTCCATATGCCTTTGCAGGTACTACTATCTTCTTCTTCTCTTTTGCCTGTTAGTTGCATCTTTTTAAAAAAAATCATTGTTATTCAATTTCACCCTCAGATTCAGATGCTGATCGTATCTACACCGATGATGTAAATAAGTTCGAGATAGCCATTCCTCAAGGTGATCTAGCTTAATTTTTCACGGCAAAAAACTTGATCTTTGCGTTACACTTTCCCAAATGGCTTGTTTGAGCTGTTCTGTTTCTCCCTCAGAATGGTTAGTCGAAACTGGAGAGCCTAAGGATTTAAATCAGTCACCGCTTTCTACCCACAAGGGGATTCGAGTTCCAATGGTATTCTTCTTCTTCTTCTTCGTGGGTCAATGTGCGTTTGTATATATTCGCTAGCACTAGCAAAGTCTAAATCAGTTGGTCTAATTAGTCAGCATAGTGATCCCGGGGCTGGGTCCGGACTTTACTAGGATGGAATCATTTGGCAAAGTGGATGAATTTGCTGAGACTCTGGTCGGTTTCCTCACTTTCAATTTCAGGAGTCATCTTGTCTTTTTTTAGATAAATGTTAGATTGTTATTGAAAAAATTAGCTCGATAGCTTTAAAAAATACAACTCTCATAAATTATGTGATTTCTAAATATTTTAAAATATAGCCTATTCATAAAATTCATTGAATGTGTTTTTTCCTTTTTTATCCTCAATAAATATATCATTAAAACATAATATATCTGATTTAACCAATCTTTAACTGACTGGATCTTTCATTTTTATCATCAAAAATTATATTGTGTGTGCTCCCTCTTTGATTTATCATCTCTGAATATTTTCTTTATCAGATTTTTTAATCTAATTTCCTTGAATCATCATATTTATATATCATATAGTACTTTTCTTCATCAAAATTTTTGATCTGATTTGCCTAGATTACCATTTTCATCACAAAGCTTTTCCTCTCTCTCTCTCTCTCTCTCTCTCTCTCTTTGTTTTTCCCAGATATTACAAAGAGGATATTAGACAATGAAAAAAAAACTCCATTACTAATCTGCGATACTACATCATTGATATATATATATATATATATATATCAATGATAAATAAATTCATAAGTTTTCATTGATATACAATAATATATCATTGATATACTATCGTAAATCAAAATAACTAAACAATCAGACATAAACTTATCTATAATTGATATATAGTCGTATATTAATGATATAGTATTATAAATCAGTAATACAAAAAATATGTAATCATTTACCCAAAATAAATCAAACATAATCCAAAAAAATTTTAGACTCTTAACTTATCATAGAAAATCAAATATATAAACTAATAAAATAAAAAATATGAATCCGTAGCTCCGTTTTCCCACTGGTGTGCTCCGTTCCGTCGAGTACATTGATGTATCTCATCTCACGTTTGTCTCTTGCTGTTGTAACTGTGGTTCACTCAAACTGCTTTGCTATCTCGCATTTGTCTCTCTCGTGTCGAATTTTGTCTTCTCTCTCTCATTTGTTTCTCTCGTTTTAAAGATTTCTTTCTTTTTTGAATTTCTTGATATTTTAAAAAAAATATTAAAAAAGACAGTTTTATAAATTAATTATTATCTAAATATTAAAAAGGCATTTTTGAAATTTAAGAAAGAATAGGCTATTTTTTTTACTTGATCTTTTAATATGAGAGCCCCATTGTTATTTGTTCGTCAAATTGCAGGTCAGTTGGCAAGACAGAAGCTGGCGGAGACCTCCAGATGTGGTGGCTCAGCTCATAGATTGTAAATCTGCTAATGGTAATGCAGCACCAATCCTGCTACTCAGTTCAGATCCTCCGCATTAAATGTGTTATATTTCAAATAAATTGAATTATTCAATTAAAAATATAAAATTTAGTATAATAACAATCACTCCGTGACTGCCGGCAATCCAGGCCCTATTTCTTTCCTTTTATTTTTGGAGATCCTTTGATTCTATGGATGCTCTTGCATGGATGCGCATATAATACTGTAAGAAAGAAATAATTAAAAAAAAGGTGGAAATGAGTGTAAATAAATGAATTTGACATTATATGCTCACTTTTGTTGTATTCTCAATCCCAGTGCCTGACTTAAATTGTGTTTCAAGCTTCTATTGCATAAATTATTCCCCTCAAAATCCTGGCGAGGCTCGCAGACATCTTTACTCGGCTATTGGCATGGCATCAAATGGTTGGTATAACCGACTTTATACGGTCACAGAACAGGTTTGCCCATCTCAATTTAGTTCATACCATAAATCAAAGAGAGTTTTTCTGTATTAACCCAACCAACAAACTTGGGGCTCAATCCATTATCGCTCTTGCTTCCATGTAGTATGTGGAAGACGCCGCCAACAAATACCGCTCCCAAATTCAAAAGGGGAACTTAGAGTACCCCCCAAAAACCAAAAAATTACAAGTGGCTTTTGGTTTTATTTAGACTCTCTCCCCCACCCTTCACCTTGCAAGTGGCTTTTTGGTTTTATATACTAATGCCCAATCACCGCTTTGCTCCTTTGCAGGCGGTCGCGTCATTTAGGTTTATGTGAATTGGTAGTTACCATAGGAAATGCTGCATCTATTGCTATCAAATGTCATCTTCTTCATCCCCATCACTTGTTAATTGATTCTATTTTCAATTTTTTGGGAATGGAGAAATTGAAAACTGTATCAGCTGCAGCAGATAATAAGAAGAGCCCTTTCTGTGTTGCATTTTAGCCGTTTTTCGTTTCGGGCACCAAAACTTACTGGTGCCAGATATGCAAGCACAATATTATCCAACGGAACATAATACATACAATCTTAATAAAAGGGTAAATTCCTCTTGATAAATCATGAAATTGAACTTCATTCAAATCTTAGGAACTGTTTTTCACCAATACAAAAACTTCCACGTCAAAATAATACCGCCTAATCTCTTTAATGCTCTCATTAAACTCGCCTAGATTTGGTTGGAAAAATGCTAAACTAAAATTAAGAGACGTCATATATGTAAACACATCACTTTTGTGTGTGCGGGGAGGATTACAATAAATCGTTAAAATTTCCAGCATTTCCAAATCTCATCTCATAAAGTTCAAACTATGTTCCGTGCTTGAGAGTTTATTTTTTTTTTTTTTTTTGGCGGGGGTGGGGGGTGAGGATTTCGCCAATGTGCAGGCAACGCGCTTGAAGCAGAACAATAAGCGCTTCAATGCAGGCAAAATAATGAGCCACAAACACTAACAAAGTAGTATACCAATAACAAGTTTACATACAAAGCTGCAAATTCAAGTCAACGAAATGCTTATTATTAAACGTCTTAGAACATGAGATGATGCAGTCCAGGGCTCTGGGAATCTACCTGCAAGAGTCATGTACTTGTAAGCAATTTGAAGGAGCGAAATTTTTTTTTTCCTGAACTCATTTCTTTTAATTTCATTTATACAAAAAAGAACTCCTTCACAGTTCACTTACATCACCATTCTCCATTATCTCATTACCATTTACAAGGATAATCAAATCCCAATATATAAGCTAGGTATATGCATAAAATATTGAGTGTGTCAGCCTCAACCTTGGACTACGCTCATGCTGAATTAAATTGTCAGCCTAGTAAGAATCATACTATACATTCTTCCATACATCATCCTTGCGCATCCATAAAAAGAATTATGCTTGCCGACCCCGAAATTTCAAATACTTGAATACTAATCATTGATCATACCAATAAATGGGATGACATTCCAAAGAACTCAACATTTTTCTCCAAATAAGATTTTCAAATTTTTTTTAGGTCACATTCTAGAATTGAAACACTATACCTCTCTACTCACACCCAGCCACCTCACCCTTACGTATATTCAAAGTATCAAATCAAATTAGAGACAAATAAAACTCACGTTTACCCTTATACATTTTTCCCTTCCCCCATGGCAGACAAATAAAAACAGAATCCAAATCCTCTTGGAAATATACAGAAGTATACAAAATACTTTCCAACGGAGTACCTTTTTGGATTTCAATTTACATCTGACAAAAGTACTTTGTGGATCCAACTATTTGATGGATTTAGTAAAAGCACATCCCAAATATAGTTTGAACGGGTTGCCTAAACAGGCTGCGGTGGAATTTGCATGGGAAAGCGTAATTATAATTAGAAAAAGGAGGGAAAACTAAGAGCCAAGTTGAATAGATCCAAAAGGGATGAATTGCATTTCAAAAAACCCAGCATTCTGCCTACCCTAGAAGAACAGAACCCCGATGCATAACATCATTTTCATATTCATCCACACGCACCTTAATTCATTATAAAAAGAAAATTACAAGTCCACATCTCAACCAAACAAAAACAAATACAAAATATTATCGCACAACGATTGATTAAACCAGAAGAAAACTAACAGACAAGCACATAGTACCGAGATTTGATTGATGAGATTTTAGAGTAATCAAACACACCTGAGAGAAGCGGCAAGACACGAATCCCAGGTCAGTGAGAAGAATGAACAGAAGAGGATGAGTGAGAGTGGTGAGAGGAAGGAGAATTTAGCCTATTGTAGACTTGTTCACCGACGAGGTAAATGCCGAAAGCCACGAGGGCGATTCCAAGCCCAGGGGTGGCGTGTCGGAGCTGATTCGAAAGCATCGGATGCTTCCTCCACTGATCCCTCCTCCTGAAAAACTCTCCGGTATGTCCCCTCGCCATTTTTCGCCGTTACGGCTTCGCTGCTTCTCGTTCTTTCCGTCGTCGCCAGCTACTCGAGACAGTTCCTTCATTTCAGATCATTTATAGTGTCCTTTGTTTGGGTGAACTTGGGCTTTACCGTGGGCTAGGCCCAAATGGGGTCCTGTGTTTTGTTGAACGGATTGTTTTTAGTTAAATAATACTTTTAATTCTCTTACTTTATATAATATTTTAATTTAATTTTTTAATTTTTAAAATATTTTTTAATCCTTTAATATTAATATTTTTATTTTTAAATAATTATTTTTTTATGTTAATCATTTTTATTTTTAAAAAAATTAAAATTTAATATGTTAATATATGATAATGTTTTATCAATATTTAAAAGTTTAATGTAAAATTTATTGAAGTGAAACTAACAGTATTAATATTAAGGATTAAAAAAAATATTTTATAAAATTTATAGATTAAAATAAAATGTTGTATAAAGTTAAAAAATTAAATGTATACTTAACTGTTTATTTTATTTTATTTTTTTGAGTGAAGTTTTAGAAGTTTGACTGTTTGGGTTTTGATAAATGGATTTTTGAGACGGAATAAAACTCACGTTTTTAACATATCATACATTTTCTTTAAGTAACCAAGTGAGAAAAACAAAACAAAACGAATAATTTGGAGAAAGGAAACTAAAGGCTTTTAATGTCCATGATTATGAATTTCTTCGATAAATTATGGATAAAAATATAAATTATGAATCATGATAGGGATTTAAGATAGCCACTGGCTTCATTGTTTGGCGTAGCACAGGGATGATTCCTGATAGAGAGAATATGATTGTATGTGGATGAGAGAGAGTGAGGGAAGAAGACAAATTGTTGGAGCCATGTTTTGAACCACAAAATTGAGGTTGGCCCCAACTCAACAAGTAGACCACAAACTACAAAGTGAAGAGAGGAATATCCTCGGCACTCTAGTCCCGGCTTGGAAACATGAAATCAATAAGAGAAGAGAATCCTTTGAGTTGAGAAAAATCGTCCAAGAGCTAATATGGCGTCCATTTCGTGCTTCTGTGCTTTGCAGAGGCGACCTACCCTCTGCTACTTGCTAGCTTCTCCCAACGACAGAGGTCAGTGTTTGACATTTTGCTGTTTGATTATTTATATTGAAATATATTTGTATTCTTATTTGTATTTTAAATATTATAATATCTTAATTGGGTGATCTTTCATTTGGGGGGAAGAAATTGCCAATGCTGAATGTTGAGGTTAGAAGTCCAAAACTGGTCAAAAATAGACTTGTGAATAATATGCCCAGAGTTAGCTAAATACATTATCCCTTTTTTATAGAACTACCATCTAATGTTAAATGCCGTTAAATTAGATTCATGTATTATTACATTGAATAGGATATAATTCTCTCAACACGATTCTCGTGCACATGACATATGACATCTATAAAATTTTGAAGGGAAATTTGAGTAATGATCTATTAAGTATGAATATCCTCAATTCGTCCTCCGATGGCTTCCTATTTGCTTAGAGTTCGCTCCTAGAAGTATAGTCCTCCCTACCCCCTCACATCAATCCCACGAGCCGCGATCTCAATTCTCATTCCATTGCAGTAGGGGAGCAAGTCAAAATAGAAAAAGTCGCGTTGGGTTTAGAGACAATTAAACTCAAACTAATGACTTCCATCTTATCAAAGAGACACTCTACTGTTAAGTTATATCCCTTTCCTTGCCCCTTCCCCTCCCTCCATCTCTTTCGCGTTGAATCATCAGAGGTAGCCGTAGGCTCTGTATTTGACTCATCCACGGGCATTCCTCTCTTCAGTGGCCATAACGGACACAGTGTAAACAAATTGGATTCATTTCTGAATATTCAATATCCAAAACTCAGTCTCATAGTAATGTAGTAACTTGGATTCTCAACAAAGATTCCATTTCTCAGTGAAATTTGTTGTTCTTCAGCTTCATCATTGGATTACAAGACTATGCAACAAGACTTGGTCTCTCATGTTTGCCCCATCAGCATCAGTTCATCCATCCAACAACCCTGTGCTGCTCCTTCAAGAAGACAGTTGACTATTCTCTCCTCTCTCGCTGCCTTTACATTTCCCCCTACTCTTCCATATGCCTTTGCAGGTACTACTTTCTTCTTCTTCTTCTTTTTCTTTTGCATGTTAGTTGTATCTTTTTTTTTAAAAAAAAAAAATCATGGTTATTCAATTTTCACCCTCAGATTCAGAAGCTGATCGTATCTACACCGATGATGTGAATAAGTTCAAGATAGCCATTCCTCAAGGTGATCCAGCTTAATTTTTCACGGGAAAAAAAACTTGATCTTTGCGTTTCACTTCCCCAAACGACTTGTTTGAGCTGGTTCTGTTTCTCCCTCAGAATGGCAAGTCGGAGCTGGAGAGCCTAATGGATTTAAATCTGTCACTGCTTTCTACCCACAAGAGGATTCAAGTTCCAATGGTATTCTTCTTCTTCTTCTTCTTCGTGGGTCAATGTGCATTTGTATATATTCACTAGCACTAGCAAAGTCTAAATCTGTTGGTCTAATTAGTCAGCATAGTGATCACGGGGCTGGGTCCGGACTTTACTAGGATGGAATCATTTGGCAAAGTGGATGAATTTGCTGAGACTCTGGTTGGTTTCCTCACTTTCGATTTCAGGAATCATCTTGTTTTTTTTTTTTTCAGATAAATGTTAAATTATTATTTGTTCATCAAATGCAGGTCAGTGGGCTGGACAGAAGCTGGCAGAGACCTCCCGGTGTGGCGGCTAAGCTCATAGATTGTAAATCTGCTAATGGTAATGCAGCACCACTCCTGCTACTCAGTTCAGATCCTCAGCAATAAATGCGTTATATTTCAAATAAATTGAATTATTCAATTAAAAATCTAACATTTAGTATAATAACAGTCACTCCATGACTGCCAGCAGTCCAAATCCCTATTTCTTTTATTTTATTTTTGGAGATCCTTTGATTCTATGGATGCTCTTTCATGGATGCACATATAATACTGTAAGAAAGAAATAATTTAAAAAAAAAAAGGCGGAAAAGAGTATAAATAAATGAATTTGACCTCAGACACTTACTTTTGTTTGTATTCTCAATCCCAGTGCCTGATCTAAATTACGTTTCAGGCTTCTATTACATAAATTACTCCCTTCAAAATCCTGGCGAGGCTCGCAGATATCTTTACTCGGCTATCGGGATGGCATCCAATGGTTGGTATAACCGGCTTTATACGGTCACAGGACAGGTATGCCTATCTCCATTTAGTTCATACCATAATCAAAGAGAGTTTTTTCTGTGCTAACCCAACCAATTAACATGGGCTCAATCCATTATCACTCTTGCTTCCATGTAGTATGTGGAAGAGACGACGCCAGCAAATACCGCTCCAAAATTCAAAAGGTGAACTCAGAGTACCACCACACCCCCCCCCCCCAAAAAAAAAAAAAAAAATTAAAAGTGGCTTTTGGTTTATTTAGACTCTTCCCTCCAACTTGCAAGTGGCCTTTGGTTTTATATACTGATGCCCAATCACCACTTTGCTCCTTTGCAGGCGGTCGCGTCATTTAGGTTTATGTGAATTGGTGGTTACCATAGGAAATGCTGCATCTATTACTATCAAATGTCATCTTCTTCATCTCCATCACTTCTTAATTGATTCTATTTTCAAATTTTGTGGGAATGGAGAAATTGAAAACTGTATCAGCAGCAGCAGCTAATAACAGAGCCCTTTTTGTGTTGCATTTTAGTCATTTTTCCTTTCGGGCACCAAAATTTACAATTGCTAGAAATACAAGCACAATACTATCCAACGCAGCATAATATATACAATCTTAATAAAAAGGTAAATTCCTCTTGATGAATCATGAAATTGAACTCCATTCAATCTTAGGAACTGTTTTTCACCAATACAAAACTTCTACGTTAAAATAATACCACCTAATCTCTTTAATGCTCACATTAAACTCGCCTAGTTTTGGTTGGAAAATGCTAAACTAAAATTAAGAGACATCATATATGTAAACACAAGACTTTTGTGTGTGGGAAGGATTATAATATAATAATAAATCGCTAAAATTTCCAGCATTTCCAAATCTGATCTCATAATGTTCAAACTATGGTTGGATTTCGCCAATGTGCAGGCAACGCGCTTGAAGCAGAACAAAAGCACTTCAACGCAGGCAAAATAATGGGACACAAAACTAACGAAGTATACTAAAACAAGTTTACATACAAAGCTGCAAATTCAAGTCAACCAAAGGCTTATTATTAAACGTCCTAGAAATAAATGATGCATTCCAGGGTCCAGGGAATGTACCTGCAAGAGTCATATAATTGTAAGCAATTGGAAGGAGCGATTTTTTTTTTTTTTTCGAGAACTCATTTCTTTTAATTTCATTTATACAAAAAAGAACTCCTTCATAGTTCACTTACATCAACATTCTCCATATCTCATTCTCATTTACAAGGAGAATCAAATCCCAATATGAGCTAGGTATATGCATAAAATATTAAGAGTGTCAGCCTCAGAGCCTTGGGCTACGCTCATGCTGAATTAAATTGTCAGCCTAGCAAAAATCGTAATAGACATTCTTCCATAAATCCATAAAAAGAATTATGCTTGCCGACCCCGAAATTTCAAGTACTTGAATACTAATCATTGATCATTACAAATAATGGGATGACTTTTCAAAGAACTCGACGTTTTTCTCCAAATAAGATTTTCAAATTTTTTTAGGTCACATTCTAGATTTGAACACTATACCTCTCTACTCACACCCAGCCACCTCACCCTTGCGTACCTTCAAAGTATCAAATCAAATTAGAGACAAATAAAACTCATGTTTACCCTTATACATTTTTCCCTTCTCCCATGGCAGACAAATAAAAACAGAATCCAAATCCTCTTGGAAATATACAAGAGTAAACAAAATACTTTCCAACGTAGTGGAATTTTGCATGGGAAAGCTTAATTATAATTAGAAAAAGGAGGGAAAACTAAGAGCCAAGTTGAAAAGATCCAAAAGGGATGAATTGCATTTCAAAAAAACCCAGCATTCTGCCTACCCTAGAAGAACAGAACCCCGATGCATAACGTCATTTTCATATTAATTCACGCGCACCTTAATTCATTATAAAAAGAAAATTACAAATCCACATCTCAATCAAAAAAACAAAAAACAATTACAAAATACTTTCGCGCACAACGATTGATTAAACCAGAGGAAAACCAACAGACAAGCACATAATACCAAGATTTGATTGATGAGATTTTAGAGTAATTAAAACACACCTGAGAGAAGCGGCAAGACACGAGTTCCACATCAGTGAGAAGAATGAACGGAAGAGGAAGAGTGAGAGTGGTGAGAGGAAGGAGAATTTAGCCTATTGTAGACTTGTTCACCGACGAGGTAAATGCCGAAAGCCACGAGGGCGATTCCAAGCCCAGGGGTGGCGTGTCGGAGCTGATTCGAAAGCATCGGATGCTTCCTCCACTGATCCCTTCTCCTGAAAAACTCTCCGGTATGTCCCCTCGCCATTTTTCGCTGTTATGTCTTCGCTGATTCTCGTTCTTTCCGTCGTCGCCGTCTACTCGAGACTAAAGCTGCCGGACGTGGAAGGCCGGGTTTGAAGCCCTATTTAAGTAAAAATTCGAGTTTTAAAAATTATTATTTTTAAAATTAATTGAATTTTACAACATAACTCTCATAAATTTATATAAAAGAGCTTAGTCCTAATAATTTTTTAAATTCTATATATTTTTTTTTTATGGAACATGTGTTTGAAGTTAAGAGGAACCTGCTTTTTTAAAATCTTAATCCTACATGTATTGCATTATTATTAATTTTAATTTATTTTAAAATTAATTTAATATAATTTAACATATAATATAAAATTTCTAATATTTTTTATTTTATAATTATTATGTTTGTGTATTTATAAAAAAATTATTTTTTAATTAAGATTTAAATTTTTTTACTAAATTTTTAAATGTGTGTTGTTTATTTCTAAAAGATTATGAGAATTTTAAATTTTTTAAATTTTTAAAATATTTTAATTAATTCATAGTGTTTAATTTTAGTTTAAGTTTTTACTTTTTTTTTTCAGAACAGGCTAAGCTTTGAACCATTCAAATAAAGGTATGGCCTAAAAAATGAGTAAAAAATGAGAAATTGAGTTTAAGAGCTCAGGTCCTTATGAGTTGGGCCTTTAAAAGGTTAGTCATAAGAACTGAGTTCGTTTATTTCCCAACTCTACTCAAGACAATT